TCATCATGACCATATTTAGGCATGTCACATGTTTTTGTCAAAAAAAATTTGACAGTCTGGACAGGGCTTTAATCTTAGTCCACACTATCAAATTTTATGTTACAAATTTATTACACACAAATATGAGTGTATCATTGTTGTTTGTCACATAACATTTAATAGTGTGGACAAAGTTTACATTATATTCTAATTTGCTTTTTAACGTTTTCTTCCAGTGTGACTGACACAAATATTATCTGCACTACCACATCATCCAGTGTAAGCGGAGATGTGTCTCTTACAGTTTATTTTGGAAATGTGAGCAGGAATTCCTCTGAAATGTTCAGAGTCACCTCTAACCCGAATGTTACAAGGATCTCGCCCTCAAAAAGTATATGCTCGTAGGTATCAGTATACTGTTTTTTAATGCAAAGTATATCACACACCTATTCTTAACATTAGGACTGGAGTGCACTTCCACTAATAATCCCAATATTGCTGTCCAGTGTAAAATATTAAAAAGAATCCCTAAAAATTTCAAGTCAAATGTTGGAATTATTCATTAAAAGAAATGAAAAAGCTATAATTTTCCAATGAAATAGATTGGAGCATTTTTGCTCTTTTTTGCAGATTTTTCTTCCGTAAAATAAAAGAATTGACAATTTATGTGTCTATGCAAACAGTAAATGGAAAAGTGTTATTTTTACTTTTGTTATTTGTCAAGAAAACCATTTTAAGAGTGAGCAATTTGACATAAGTGCACAAAGTAACTACAGTAATTATTAGTATTTTACAATTTTAATCTTGCACCAATGTAATTACATTTAGTATGAAATATATTGAAGAAATACACCATATATTCAGGTGAACAAGGCGATCAGCGTATAAAGGCCTACTCAGACAGCATCGGCAGACGTAGCCCGACCCGATTTATCGTCAGGGACAGCCTTAAGCCGTCGTGAGAAATATTAAACATGTTTAATATTCTATGACGCGACTGCCCCCGACGCACACCATCGCATCTGCGTTTAACTCACACAGACCCGACGCGACAACAAATCGCGTCAGGCTGCGTCGTACGACTGAGTTGGCCTTAAGACAACCCCTGAATCTTGATACTAAATCTAGCTGGCTAAAAACTGAGCCAAATGTAGAACTAATCTTCCAAATAATACAATTTTATGGGCTTTGAAATGTTCATGAAAATTGCATTTTCATACATTTAAAATTGTATCCATTTATACTAACAGTAGCTTTCTTTCAGTAGTAAATATTTGAGTGTTACAGATAATCTGAACATAGACAAACATGAGTTAAATATCAGAAATTTGTATATTTTGTACGTAGAAGACAACCCCCTGTTTATCAATCATAATTTGCTAATTTAAGCCTCTTTGTATACGCAAGAATGTACCGTAATATTTTTAGTACTTTAAAATATTTTTTATATTTATTAAGGAAATTTGTAGGAGCAAGAAATATCTATGAGACACTTGTTTTATCAAATTCATGTTTTATTTAATTTTTTTTTTCAGTGGTGGTAGACAAGTGGACATTTTTGCGAATAACTTTGATGCAGTCCAAGTGATAAAAATTTCCGTGTCACATAATAATTCAAGTTCTCCCCAAAATGTAGGTCAAGAGAGATTGTTTAATTTCAATAAGGTTTATCGCGAATCCAAATAATAATATGTTAGATTTATATAGCGCTTAACGCCAAGAAGGCCTCTAAGCACTTCACAGTACTACCCCTGGTCATGGGATTAAACGCCTATGTAACACAAACTCAAGCTCTCTGGGGTAGTATTCCATAAAGTTGCAGCAGCTACGTCAGCGCACTTTGACATTTAACCCCACCAAGTACCCATTTATACTGATGGGTGGAGAGAAGCAATGCAGGTAAAGTGCCTTGACCAAGGACACAAGTGAAATGCACAGCATATAGGGATTGAAGGGGCGCAATTACGCCAATTTATCTCTTGTGCCACCACGGCGGTGGTGTGGTCGTTTTTTGCCCCCTTTTCAATCTCATCATGCTTTGTTGCGGCACACCCTTTGTTGATATTTCTTGATTTGCGATATTAGCAGGTTTACTAATACTCATGTGATCATATGTTTTTGAGAAAAATATGTTTCTTCTTAATTGGGATTCCATCCCACGATGCTTGATAACTAAGTTTGCTAATACAGCCTTACACATCGGTGCTGGCTCGAGTCACTCCTTGTCCAGGTTTCGGTTTGTGGAACCTAGTCTTCTCAGATAAGTTCTTAAAATGTAGTTCCACTGTATACATCTGGCTTGTGTGCATCTTCCGGAAGAGTTGGTGTTACCCGATGCTATGGTTCATTTTAGCTCCTGTTGTTGTGGAATGATGTGAACAAGTAGCTACTATAAGGACCGCTTTACGGTGACAAGGTAGTCGCAAGCCATGCCCATACGCAATTCAGCACAATGACGTGTTGTTGTGAATGGGTTATTCTCCTACCTTCAATATGCAAATCTCAAAATAATTTCATTAGGATTCCATATAGTAATAGATTGGTAAATTCATGAAATGAAACCAATAAAGGAATAAATACTTGCCATGTTTGATCTACTACCAGTAGAACTTCACTGTGGTAGTAGATTGAAACGTCACAAGTACGTATTCATTCAATAGCTCAATCGAGAGAAGATAATGTCATTTGTCCTGTGTGTAGAATTACCCATGTGGATTGGATTGAATTTATTCGGTGTAAACACCAAGGATAGGCCATGAAAGTCTAGAAGAAGACTTATTTCCAGTGGGGGAAAGACGGTGCGCTATTGTAACTTGTATTTCAGCCCTCTAGCTGAAACACATGGAGAGGCAGCGATGGGAATTGAACTGGGGACCTGGAGATCTCCACGGTTCAGCGCACACAGTGACTACCACCAGATTAGCCGACAGAACTAAGCTGCTCTCTCATTTGCATTTTAAAAACCAGAACCTCACTGGAAAAAAGTCAAACTTTTTTCTGTTATCCTTGGTGTTTACTATACCAAATATATCTGATCCAATCCAATTATAATCATGGAATTTTACTGGATTTGAATTGAAGACCATAAGATTTGAAATCATGATTACATTATTATAGCAATGTGATTTTGGGGTTGTTTATTATGACACACCAAGTGCTGACTGTTCCATAAAGTTTTTCAGGTGTGTTTTTAGTTATTAGATCATTTGCAATAGATATCTTTCCAACATCGTTGCTGACTTTTGCCTTCTAAATTTTGTTATTTAGAATTGTACCTTAAGCGGAAATGATGGTGTGAGGTGCTATACACCAAAATTTCCTGGTGAGTGTCCAACGATGTGTGATGGTGGCCAGCCAGTGGATATGCAAATCTTTTTTGATGGCTATACATACAGTCATGACAGTCATGGTGATAATACCTTCAAGTATACAACCAACCCAAATTACTATATGTTCAATAATACAGAGCATTACAATCTTACAGATGGGGCGTTAGAACTTGCCAACAGGGAGTTAAAGTTGCAGGTCAGTTGTATTTAAGGCATGTCTGGCTTATATTGAAATCACACATTAACAAAAGTTGTTGCAAGTATTAACAATTATACTATATTACTACCAAGAAACTTATATTACTATGAACATTTTCGAACCATGTCATATCCATGTAATATTATCATTCCAGCAATGGCCCCCACATGGCAATCAAATTTGATTGGCAAATTAATATATTTGGTCTGACTGCTTGTCTAGGCGCCGGTGGTCGGCAGGGGTGGGGAGGGGGGGGAATTTGCTCTCTGACTTAGCCTGTGAAGTATTGTGATATTTTTGTGTAAATTATTCTATGTATCTCTACCTACTGTAGGTAAGTCTGTTTGATGAGATGATGGCAACTAGACATAAAGGTGTTTTCTTCACCCCCAATTCTGTCCAAAGGATGGGTACACAGCTAGTTATTGTTATTGTTATTGTTGTTATTAATAGTGCTAATATTATAAATATGTTTATTTCTTTTTAATTGGTGCGAAGCACCCAATTCATATTCTTGACAGCAATTTGACCTCTGAAAGGTCATTGTTTGTCAAAAAACAAGGGCCTAAGACGACTGAAAAGCGGAGTTTCCTTCTTTCATTCTGCCGGGTAAAATCAATTACTTTAGGCGACGTTTGTAGACTAACCAACACGTACCAACTTCCGCGTGTCGCGCTAGCCTTATCCTACTAGGCTTAGACTAGCTAGGATGGTATAGGCCTAGCCTTGAAGGGACGAAGGTCCTAATGAAAAACAACATCGCTCCTTGATAGCTAACATTGTCTATTTAACGTCACAATAATTCAGACCTATAGTTGTTTTTTGAATTGTACTCCACAAATCTCAGCCGATACCTCGCACAACTCGAGTAACGTCTCGTATCTATTGTCGTGACGTCATGGCTCGCTGGCTCACACTTGCGATGTCTCGCACTTCAAATAACACGCTGGCTTGCACTTTGGCAACATTCTTTGGCAGTCAACTCCCCCTAGAAAACCCGCCCTTGGAAACTTGCCCCATAAAAAAATGTACACTTCCTAGACCATGCAGTCTTCAAAATAAAAATTGTAACCTTTGGTAATCAACTACATTTTCCACATACATAGAAGTTTTTGAAACTTTATTTTAAAAAACCTAAACCATAATACAGACACTTTTTGACAAAAATGAAAAATTACGACTTTGTTACCCAATGAGAAGTGTTCTAATATAGAAAATGGGTCGTGTCTTATATTATTTGTTATATTTTTATTATTCATTATTTTCACTTGACTCGCATAAATAATTTTGTTCGAAGAACATTTATATGCAGTTGTACTTCGCAGCACTTCACTTGCAATTTGCAATTTTTAGTCATAGGATATTTTTGTTGATAATATGAATAGCGAAAATAATTATCTCTTGTGGTTTTCAGGGGGAAAATCTGAACTGTGCCATTGAGAAAAATGAAGTTGAAGTTCTTGTTGGTGACAAAACTTGTGATATTTCAACTTTGTCTAAGAAAGTACTGATTTGTACTACATCACAAGAAAAATTGTCAAATGATTTAGTGAGAGTAAGTACAACCAAACACCTTCCCAGTTGAGCCTCTGACTTGTACATCCCTTCTGACAATTAACTTATTAAGCCCAATTTTTTTCCATCTTCCCAATACTGTATATTTTAATATTGGAACCGATTGTTTCCCTCTCAGCTTTCAGGTTTGTTACTATGTGTATTAATATTTTCTCTTTATTTATATAAGTTGTCTGTATACTTACAAGTGGAGTACCAGCTGGTAGGTCTCACAAAAGAGTATAGAATTGCAAGTGGTCCAACTGCCTTGAATTTTGCATGCATGCAATGAATTGGGAAAAAAAAAGTACTACTATGAGATATGGGGGAGGGGGGCGACCTATTAAAATTTGAACTGAGTTCAAAATCTCGAAAATGCGTTCTATAGGTGCAGCAGGCATTTTAAATGTGATTGCCTTTTATGTTCTTTTGAAGGACGTCCTCTAGTTTGTGGTAGTAGTTTTCAAGATAGGATTGCATTTCAACGAAACCAAGAGAGCCGGACCTCTTGCAGTTCATCACTCTCTGGTCTCCCTGATTACTACCTCAAACATTGTGCAAATTTAGCTTAGTATGTGTTACAAAAGCATTCCATTTGACCAGTAATAATTTACGAAAATACGATACTTACAATAACGTTGCTTTCACAAATGATTGTCTTTAGCTGCTGCAGGCATTCGGCCAATTTATTAAGACAGTTATGACACCTTTGGGTTAATATTTTCTAACAGTGACCTCAAAACTTCACACTAATTGCTTTTTTTGTTTTGCAGTTGAGTTGAATAACTTGGTGGTTAAGATGCTTGACTTGTAATCTCAGGGTCCTGGGTTCAATTCCTGTCATGGTAACAGGATTTTTTTTCTAACAACCAGAACAATTCCACTCCCTAAGCTTCATAATGAAAACTAGTTTAAATGGAGCACCTTGTTTATATGTTTGTCATAGGAAAAGATTGCATAAAGTGATTACGTTCGCTAGTGGCATATTCTTGGCCCAGAGCCTAAAAATCAAATGAATAAATAAATAATTGTTTTTTACTATTCATAGTGCATAGAGTACTACAGTGTTACGTCACGATACCATGTGATACTACTCCGTTGCCATTGTTACAAAATGCGTTCAACCTGACGCCATTTTCTCCACTGACAAACCATTGATCCCAATTTTCGTAATTATTCAGATGTTGTATCTTAATTTTTCTTTGTAAATTTCAATTGATGATTAAATGTGTGTTCGGTAACTAATATAATGCGAGCTTTTGTGGTTTTAGTACATTTTAATGGTAAAACATTAGATTTTAAAATGCCTATTCCATTCCAGCCAATGAAGTTATTCAGGCGTAATGAATGGTAACCTACGTCTGTTGACAACAGAGAGCGCAACCTGGCGCCGTGACGACACGACTGTGGTACTCTATAGATGTTCCACACGGTCAGATGTAATTGCTAGATTGACCATCCCTTAAGTTTATTTTTATATACTCTGTTAAATTGACTTAGAATTTTATTTATTTATTCAGTTATTTATGTAGTGTCTTCCTTTGCAGATACGAAATCACTTCTGTCCCCGGTAATGGTCCTTTCCGTTAAGTCCGCCCCTTGGATATTGCTGCTAACGTCCCACGAAACGACAGTGTTAAAACAATCACAAGCACATGCGTTCGTGGGGCAAAATGAGTGTTAGTGGGACACTCACGTATTCCTGGCGTTGCTCTAATTGTTCAGTGATTGAGTTTGATTTACATCCCTAAAAGGTCTATTGGGTCTACGTGCTTAAATGTTGCTGCTGTAACCAGCGTAGGAGGAGAAAACCCCACTAGGCACCCATTTATACTCCTGGGTGGAGAGAAGCAGTGCACATAAAGTGCCTTGCAAGCGAAATGCACAGCGAGGGATTGAAACCCTGACCTCAAGGTTGGGAAACCAAACCGCTGCACCAAACCAAGTCTACTATACAGAATATGGTGTAAAAATGATAAAAGAATATATCATTAATAATTGATTTTTAAAAACAAAAACAGGTACGTCATGGTAACTTTGATGTAATACTTGGTAAAGTCAGTACCCCCAAAAGTACGTTATGGATTGGTATTGTAGCCGGCGTTGGATCTGTGGCCATCATAATCTTTGTCGTGGTTGTCTGTCTTAAACGAAAAGAACATAAAGCCAAAAGAAGCACTGAGCATTTACTCATGGAATTGGACAGCATGGTGGACAGTGTGAAGGAACAAGCACTTGTTGGTAAATTAATATTTTTCTGCAAAATGAAGTGAAAAGATGGCAGTGGAAGGGAGATAGGTGGCAGATGATTAGCCTGGGTGTGAGATGGATATGCTGGGATGGGAATGTGTAGGCGGGAATGGGAATGGGAAGACAGCAGACTATGGTATGGTATGGGTAGGCATGTTTATACTGTATATTGATACCTAAAATGCTTGAATAAGCACCTCGGCGCTTATAAAATTTTTGGAGGCTTCACTGCGGTGCTTATTCGAGAGTGACGCTTATAAAAAAAAATATTGGCGTGGCGCTCTCCATGCCCATTCCCATGTTACCTATCTCGCATATTCCTGTAATTCGGTAGGCCTATTATAGGTCCTACCTATAATATCATCGTAAATAAACGTTTAAAAAAATGCTTGTCTTAATTGTTTTATTTATTCATTTTAACACTGTATAAATTTATTTAAAACCCTGTTTCTCAAAGTGTTTCATTACACACAAGATAATTATAACTATCAAGAGCAGCGCTTAGCGAAAAAAATATCCTTTGGTCCAGTGCTTATTCGAGCGTTCATAAACCAACATATTTTTCCCTCGAAAGCCCTGTTCTGTAACAAAAAACATGCGAGGTATGTGGCATGTATAAATACCATCATGATGACATCACATCATGACCATATATAGGCACATCATGGACTACATATAGGCATATAGTACAACATATTGTTGTCAAATAAAATTTTATAGTGTGGACAGAGCCCTATATAATTGACAGTGTGCTTGCTGTTAGATGTGATGTGGGAACAATGTTAAGTAAACAAAATCTGTTTTGATTTGACAGCTATTGCGGACATGACTCTGAATTTGAATGACCTAGCACAAGATCTAGAAGGTCACGGAATGCCTTTTAGGGGGCCAAAGGAGTACACGATGATGATGATGTTTTCTGGCTATGACAAGAGACCAATAGAAGCAGTAGGTTTTTAATCCATTTTGTTTTATTCCCTTTTACAATGTGCAAAAATAAATCAAATACATAAAATTCAGAGTAATACAAATAATAAATAGCCCAATCATAACAATTCATAACATATAATAAATTAAATCTGCTGTAATATTTTGGAAAAAAGTTTTAGCGAGTTGAGTGGCCGAGTTGTAAATTTTGGGTGCCACTAACTACAGCTTTAACATTAGTGGCAGAGCCAAGCCAAAGGAGGGATAAGTCGAAATTTTCAAAATTGAGTTTTGTACATATGAAATTAGACATTATTATCTTCAACATAAAAAAAAATCACTTTGATATGGTAGTTTATGGCAAAGTTATGGACAATTAAAGTTAGGATACTTGGTAAGTGTATTTTGAGAAAACTGGCTTTGAAAATCAGATTTTATGTCTGTACGCTAGGAAAAGCTTCCGTAAATACCATCTTTAGAGCATTTATTGATTATAAATCAGAGAAAGGTAATTGTAGTATGAAAGTTAAATGTTTAAAATGCATGTTTTAAAGACTTAAAAAAATCGGGGAAAATGACTGATTTCACATTTGTGCATTTATTGGAAAACTGCCTGTGAGACTTATCCCTCCTTTGGCTTGGCTAGTGCTATTTCGAGCCGCTCCTCGTCCAGGGTTGGGTTGGTAGAACCTAGTCTTCTTGGATAAGGACTCAAAAAAGGAGGTCCAGTGTTACATATCTGGCTCGTGTGCCATTGAATCTTTCTGAAGAATAGTGAAGAGTTAACCGATGCTATGGTTTTGTTTTTTTTATAATTTTAGAATGGCAATGAGAACGAACAAGAAAACCTAACCGAATTCTCAAGACTTCTTTCCAATAAGGACTTCTTAGTTGTATTCATTAAAGTTATCAACAAGAGTAAAATGTTTAGTATCCGAGAAAAGTAAGTTGAATGTCCTAGAGATGTAAGTTGAATCAGGGGTAACTTTAGAGGCAGGTAGGGTCGGGGGTTAAATAGGTTGTATGACATGTTGTGTTGGAGGCTAACAGTGTCCAGTAGCTAGGCCCTGATGTGGGTCCAGGGGGAAATAAGCCTACTGTTGTCCTAAAAATTATATAATCAGTAAATTGTTTTTATTAATATTGTAGTAAACGTCATTTCATCATCATTGTTAATCATCATTGTCAGTATCATCATTATCATCTTCATCATTTATCATTATCATCATCAATATCATCTTTATTATTATCAGTATTATTATTATATAATTTATCTCATCATCATCATCGCTGCCGCCACCACCATCATCGTCATGACCGTTACCGCCATTGTCGTCATGGTTATTCTTATATCAGATTGTTAATATTATTGTTGCTGCTGCTGTTAATGCCATTGGTAATGTTAATATTATTCTTAATATGATTATTATTATACATTATTCTATCAGTTAACAATTAGTGGACAAAGATGTAGTAAATGCTTCTTCTTTTATATTGAATCTACAATGTTTTATCTTTCAGCGTGTAATAAAGTACTAATGGTAACATCTATGTTTTAAATGTTTTCCCCTTGTTTCCAAATTCATTTTTCCAAACCCATATTATGTTTCATGCATTTTTATTCGCTATTTGATACAAGAAATTCCCAAGATTTTATTCATTTCATATATATTTTATAATTCCTTTCATTATGTATTTCTTTTTTTATTGTCATTTCATAAATCATTCTTTGTTTGTTTTTTATTATACTGTACATGTTTCATTTTCCCAAAATGTTCATCCATCACATTGTTCTGTTCTCCATCTTTTTTCCTCAGTCTCTCTTTCTCCATTTTTAATATGTTTTCATGTCCTAAATGTTTTCTCATTTCCAATCTTGCAGATAATTATTACAATTTACTTTATGTTTAAACTCTATTCAGAACTACTTTGTATATGTTTATATGAATTGTAGTGTTGTATTTTTGTAATCATTTTATGCCCTGTCCAGATTATCAAATTTTGTTTGACAAAAACATGTAAAATGACTAAATCATGACCATATATAGGCCCAACATGACTATAAATGGGCATGCAACAGTTTTTTTGTCAAAGAAAATTATGGATGAAGCTTCTGATTTTGCTTTATTGTTGTTGTGGTATAATTGTTCTTGTATCAGAGTTGTTTGTGAATGGTTGTTGGCCAGTTAAATGTTAAGTTTGTTATTAATTTTGCCCTCCTTTGTTTAATTTAAAATAATAACCTAATTATTATATTTTTCATAATTTGTAGTGTTTTTGTTTGGTGAAAGGAGGGGGAGGGGGCTTAATCTGTTTTTGGTTAACTTTTTGATTCACATAAATGGCTAACATATATAATGTATTCTATAACTCAATCAATCAATCAATCAGTTAAGTGTCTGATCAATCGATCAATCAATCTAACAGTCAGTCAGTCATTACAAAGTACATAAATGTAATAATGGATTGATTATATTGTTATCATATACATATTTATATTTATCATTTCATTTATTTATTCAACCAACACTTACAATTACAATGACAATAAAATACAATATGCAAACAAAAAAATGGAAATGCTGGATTGAGGTAGCTTAAGCAAAGTACATTGCTATAACTTGGATGAGCCAGTTACCCTTTAGATGCAATAATCAATATTAAATATGTAAGATGTTAATTCAGATTATTATTCATTGTCACATACATACATTCAGTTTTAAGGTGATACATTCAGTTAAATGCAAAAATAACTGCACAACAACAAAACACCATAAAATAACTGAAGATAAATGCACAAAAAAATATAAATTCTTGTAAAATAAATGTACATATTCTTCTTGTACATTGTATTGATGTTGTTAAAATTATTAATATTTTATACAAGTCTGAAAGAGTTTAAAATGCTTTTGAATACTTTAGTAAGTCAATTAATAATTTTATTATTATTATTTAATAAAAAATTATAATTTATTGATTCGTTTGGTATATATATAATATTGAATAAAGGCTTAATTTTTACAATTATCATTTCTAAATTTATTTCTTTGTCACCATATTTGATTATCATTAATATTTATATAGTGCACATTTTTACAATATTCATCATAATCAGCGGCACTTTACATGCCTAGTTTAATTTAGTTTAATTATTTGATTCAGATGAAAAATGCATCCTTTCATCTCATTTTGTATATTTTTCATTACAGAGGAAATTTTGCATCTCTGCTTGCAATTTTAATGGTAGTTGACGACAGATTGAACTTGAACTATTTAACCTCGTAAGTCTTTGTATATTTGTTGTTAAGTATGATGAGAAAAAAAAATCAATGTTTTACAAGTCCAAACTTTTGAACATTGCTAGTTATTTTTTATTTAATTTAAGTTCATGGCAATTCACATAAATCAATGTTGGTCGAAAATTGGAAAAATCGGATCTCCTCCACCCCCCCCCCCCTTTTGAAAAGCAGTAAACAAAAAAGGCAGGGGACACACTTGGACACATTTCAGGCTTGGCACCTGTCACCAACTGTGTGGGTCTGTCCTGGAAAAAAACTGACAAAAATCTTAAGCATAAAAAAAAATTTAAAAAAAACTCCTATATGCAGAAAAGGATGATAAAAACAAGATTAAGAGCAATTTAGTATCAAATTGTGAATGGGAATAAATGTGAGAAAAAGAAAGAAAAGACAAACCAAATAGCATTGACTGTAAAAGTAATATTATTTCTAGCATTTGGGACACAAGCTTCTAATTTTTATTTGTAATTTTTTCAGTGTCCTAGATGTGTTGCTAAGGGATCACATTGATGAAATGGTATCAGACCGAAAAGCTAAGCAAGTGCTAAGAAGGTAGAGTTTTTTTGAGAAAATTATAAAGTTAAATATATTTGCTTCACGTCCAACAGCAAGTACACTCGCCACCAGGATGGGATGATGCTTTATAAACCAAGTCTCTTTTTGAGGCTTGGTGTTGAGAAAAAGTGCTGCTGTGACAGATATTGAACCCATGACCCTCTGATTAGAAGGCAAGCATCTTAAACACTAAGCTATTCAACTCCACTCCAATATAAAATGTATATTATTGATTAGATTAGGTGAGACTTTTTTACCTTGCTTAGCTAACTATATTTTTGTAAGATACAGGTACTGTAGTCAGGATTGCATAATCACTTTACTATTGTGTTTCCGCCTGGACGCACCCAGTGCATGTTATGTGCGGTTTATTTCAAACCTTGATAATATCATAATTCTGCTTTCTCATTTACCAATGGTTCCGTCAGAAGAATCTAATTTAAAATCTTTTTTTGTTGTTGTTGATAGAAATGAAGGTGTTACAGAGAAACTTCTGTCCAACTGGGTGTGTCTTTGTATGTATTCACACCTACAGGTACAGTAAATCATTTATGATTATTGTATAAAAAGATGAATTAGTGAATCTGACACTTATATACTGTAAAGATGTATAAAATAAAGGTTTGCAGCCATTGTTTGATATTGAATGAGTTCTCGTTAATTAATTAACTAATTATTCATAAAAAACGCTTTTAAAATGGATTTGTAACTACAGGTCTCCCTCCAATTAAAGACCACTTTTGGGACCAATGTTCCCATGGTCTTTAGCAGCTTTGGTCTCTAATTAGAATAATAAAGATAAAGAAATTTGTTAATTTGTGACCACAGAATAGTGGTTTTTAATTGAAGGTGGTATTTATTTTGGAGGGGTCTTTCATTGGAGGGAGACCTGTATATCACAATGCTGACAGGTCTTGTGGTTACCAAAAACCATAATTTGCTGAAAATAGAAAAGGGCCTCCATGGCTCTTCACCATAATCCTCTTCCCATGATGATATTGAGGATATTCGATTTGCAATTATAAATTATGGAATTGATATTTCTTGCTTGAACCAACTCCCTGCTTGAACTTAGTGTCACAAAGAATGGCCCCTGCTGACAGCTTGTATTTTGATTTTCACGTTTCACAAGTTTGTATACGTATATTCACAGGCATATGGTTTAAAAACTTGTGAACGATAGATGTAAAAAAACATGCACTTTTAAAAAAGTGCATTAGATATCACCAGATCAGGAAATAAGCCCCAAAATTCCCTATCCCTCTTGTAAACTTTTCTTTTTGTGACATCACAAAAAGGTTTTCTGCAATTACCAAGTGGTATTTTAAAGGGTATGGTATTGTCCACCAAATGTACTACAAACGTTATAACAGATTTTCTGTGATTACTCAATAATGATCATTCAATTTTGAATTTCTGAATTTCTTTTCATATCCATTTTCAAATGTTGATAGAGATAAATATGATGATGATGAATATGGTAATAGTAATTGTGATGGTAATGTTTATGATATTGTTGATAATGACTATGGTGATGATGATTGGGATAATAATAATTATATTAAATATGATTATATTGATGAAAATTGTGATGATAATAATACTAATGATAATGATCAAAATGTAATCATAACGGTGAATTTGATGGAAATGATGTTGATAATTATAATTATAATATTGATAATGATAATTTTGGTGATTTAGCAACATAACGCCCAGCCTCTATATCTGATGTACCAATCGATCAGGTGTTATGTAAACAAAGGTGCTGTTGATGCGGTCACCCATCATTCCCAGCATGCCCTGAGCTTAAACACACTCCTCCGTGAAGACGTTAAATATGAGGAAATCGTAAGTTTACCATTATATATAATTATATAGTATTAATAGGTATAGAAATAAAAAGTACTACAGACCCGTTATTACAGTGGCGGATCCAGGAAATAGAGGGACCAGAGAGGGACTGTCACAGGTGGAAAGTGTAGACCACCTCAGCCCCACCATGGTTGGGGCTGAGGTAAGAAATTTTCAGATTATGGCACCTCTAGATGGCTGGAAATGGCACTCTCAGACATAAATTTTATTAGTATTTTCCTTTTTACTCTATTTTTTGTATGATTTTGAAAAATTTAGGAGGGCCTGGGCCAACTCGCCTCCCCCCACCCCTTGAATTTGCTACAACTCTAATTCTAAAACAATGAGATGAAGTGGTACCTTATAATCTTAAGCTTTATCCACTCTCTCAAAGTTTATGTGACAAACAATGTAGTATGTCCATATTTGGGTGTAATATGACATCCTCATGCCCATATATGGGCACACACACTAATTTTTCACATAAAATTTGATAGTGTGAGCTCTGTCCACACTATCAAATTTTTGTTGTGTGAATTGCTCATATATGGGTATGATGATGTCATATTACATCCATATATGGTATGATGATGTCATATTACATCCATATATGGGTATGATGATGTCATATTACATCCATATATGGGTATGATGATGTCATATTACATCCATATATGGTATAATGATGTCATATTACATCCATATATGGGTATGATGATGTCATATTACATCCATATATGGGTATGATGATGTCATATTACATCCATATATGGGTATGATGTCATATTACATCCATATATGGGTATGATGATGTCATATTACATCCATATATGGGTATGATGATGTCATTACATCCATATATGGGTATGATGATGTCATATTACATCCATATATGGGTATGATGATGTCATATAACATCCATATATGGGTATGATGATGTCGTATCATACATGGACAAATGATCATTGCTGGTCACATATAATGTGATAATGTAGATACAGCTATAGATGTAAACACATGCAGATAAATCAAAAAATAAAAATCCAATCCCTATTTTATTAGAATGCTAAATCTAATGAGTTTTTATATATCTTCAGATTTTTATTATTAATTATCTTATTATTAATTATAATCATTTTTTTTCGTCATTGTAAATTTGTTTTGTGTGCAGTGTATTGTATTGCCTATACTATATTTTTAAAATATTTAATAGATATTTTAAGGATTGTTTTTTCAGTAAATTATAAGGCAAATTTTGTGTTTGTAAACTTGCTGGTAATGCAAGTGAAAGTTTATGTGTTAGTATTTTTCATAAAAAAAAATAATGAATGAATGAATTTTATACTTCCATATCTTTTTAGACACTGGACGTGATTTTCAATTCCGACACAGTACGAGTTGAAGTATTAAGTTGTGACACTGTTACTCAAGTTAAAGAAAAGATTTTAAATGTGTTGTGTAAGAATAAACCTTATTCTAAAAGGTATCCTGCTAAAGATGTTGATCTAGGTGAGTATAAAATTTTGAATGACAAATACTAAAAATAGCCCTTTTATGTAAATGAAATAGAGTGATGCTTTTGTCAGCAAGGTCTGTTTACATGGCTTAGGGAGTGGAGGTTTTAGTTGTGAGAAAAAGTCCCGCTGCCACAGGAATTGCAGGGGTCTTAAGTTGTGAAAGTCAAATTCCTGGAGATTTTGTCATGCTGGACAGGCAGAGGTTTGCGACGTGTGTACTACTAGCTGTAAAACGCATGTACAAGGGCACGCGTGTACAAAATTATTGCCTTTTTCAATATAAAAACAAAGAGGTTTGGGCAGAATGAATCTTATGTATACTAGATTTAATGCATAAGAATGGGAAAATTTAGCTTAGCATAAGCCCTAATTGTGAAAATTTGTTAAAATTCTGGAGAAATATGAAATTCAAATTCCGGGAGAAAATGTGGAATTTCCGGGAGATGAACCAAATTTCCTGGAGACTCTAGGGCAATCCGGAGACTTGAGAGCCGTGGGAATCGAAACCCGTATCCTGGGATTAGAAGGCAAGCATCTTAACAACTAAGCTATTCAACTCCACTCCACATAGCCACTGCATGTGTTCCTTGTTCGATTCCATCACTGCTCCCCTTATGTTTTGCCTGGAGTGCTAAAATGCAAGTTGCAATCGTCCAATTTTACCGTAGTCGATCGAAAAGATTGTACATATGTGTTTCTGGAAGAGATATAGACAATCAATTTTATTTAGTACTATAAATTTGTTGTAGATTGGCAGCATGGAAGTGCAGGTCATCTTATTCTACGAGATTTGGATAACACATCTATCCAGAAAGGCAACAAAAGAAAACTAAATACTATGGAGCATTTTAGAGTAAGTTTTTTTTATATTTACTTAGCCTGAAACCTCACAGAATGAAGTTAATAATGAAAGTAATAAAAAAAATTATTTGTTTATTTTCTAGAATAATTGTGTATAGAGTGTTTGAGCCATGGCTGGGGTGGGAGGGGGCAGGGTCTTGAGTATGAGTCCCTAAATTGTGGGATTTTATTTTTTTTTATTTGCGCTGCCCACGTGTTTGTGTGCCACTGTTATAAAAATTCCAGATGAATAATAATTGTCTTTATTTTAATTATTATTACACTTTTTTTTTGTATTATTTGTTTGTTACTTAAACTGGTGTACCTGTTCATTAGCAAGGTACTGTTCTTGCACAGAAACGGGGATGGCTTTAGAATATTCATTGGGTTGGTGGTGGGAGGTGGGGGTGCTATGGTGTTCAGCTAAAGTGCCTGACAATTATTTCCAATATAGACCAGTGGGGTCAAGGGGGGAGGCCCTAGTGACTACTTTGTAAGACAACACTCACATTGTTCTCTATACTTGTCCCATGGACCTATTAATAAGATTATTAATAAATTATTAATAGGTCCATGCTTGTCCCTTAACAGGTGAGGACTGGTTACAGGGTTAAACTTGTTTCTAAGCAAGATGAAGCAAATGCAAGTGTCAACCAGTCAAATGGCACACTGCGTGGTAAGTCAAACAAATATTATTTAATGAATTCAGTTTGGTGTGCCGTAAAATGCATCTTATTTCGATAGATGGAATAATATAATAATTGTGACGAACCTTTTTTAAAAAAAATATTGAACAATAAGCAATATATATCCAAGTTTCCTTTCAATGATATCCAAGCTAAAACATTATTGTTATCACTGGTGCTGTTGTTATTGATGATATTATCTTGTTGATGTCAGCATAGAGTGGAGTTGAATAGCTTAGTGGTTAAGGTGCTTGTCTTTAAATCCAAGGGTACTGGGTTCAATTCCTGTCAGTGTTACAGAATTGTTTCTCACAACCAAAACAACTACACTCCTTAAACCTCATATTGAGATTTAGTTTGTTTATAAAGCATTGTCTGTGTATCTTTTCTTTGTGAAAGGGATTGTCATCTACAAGTAGGATGGTGATTTGCTACTGACAATCCTTGGTGCATTTTTTGTGGGCCTAAATGAATAATAATAAGAATAATAATAATAGATATCACCATATTCAGCTAAATACAATGTGTTATGAAAGTACATTCAGCCAGATCTCTTGAAGAGTCTTCTTTCAACTTTGGACTCCTGAGCTGACATCTTTCCTCTGAATAAGGCTTGAATCAAAACCTATTCATTCATGATCACATGATGAAACTTCGTGGGAAAGTACCGTAACCTGGCCTTTTCCATTGGTATCTATAAAGTGCAATAGGGGTATGAGTGAACAGGGTTGGAAAAATTGTTCTACAATGGAGCTCTATGAAATTGATTCTGATCCCCCAAAAACAAAATGTATCATAACGTCTTATATTTATAAGCTAGCTTTCTCCCCTGATGAATTTTATCATATTTCTAGTTTTATAGGTCTCAATTTAATTTTAATTTTCTCAATTATGTAATCTTTTTTATACTATTTTATGTGTTTTTCAGTTTTGTATTTCCGAGTTTTAATGTATTCTCATGTAATTCAGCATTAATTCTGCCATTTGAGATTGAATAAAAAAAAAGAAAAAAAAAGAAAAAAGCAAAATTTTAAGCTCTGTTTACACTATCAAATTTCATCAAAAAAGCATCACATAAAATGTAAAGGAACAATATCATCAAAATACATCAAACTGCTTTAGTTGGGTCTTTGTGTTGAAGTGTGGATATGTCTTTGTTCAAACAGGGCTGGATAACTTGGCCTACAGTGGAGCTCTTGATCCAGAATCAGTCATTTATTCTGATGAAATTGACTTGGAACTTGCGACCGTTTATCATCTAGTAAGTGGTGGTATTGCTATTGTTCATTACGCTTTCATAATTGTATTCAATATTCCGTACAATTGACATGTTGACAAGGACCCGAAGCCCCGCTCACAAAGTCATGAAAACCTTAGACAATGGCAGTTAGACTTACCGAGTTGGCGAAGATTTTCTTTGCTATAAACCTTCTTTAAGAAAGAGAATTCAGGGTAGGCGGTATGCAAATGAATCGTATATTCATAGTGTTAATCTATTTCATGGAACATGGCGGGGAAATTGTTGTAAAAGCCTTGTATGTCGCTCCCAAAGGAAGAGGAAAAAGCCGCATTCAGTCAACTTTGTTGTCGGCAAAGGCCAAGTCACTGATGCGCACTGCTCGTGTAAATCTGGGTATCTATAACCAAGCATTGACATTTAAGCCTAGGCTCAGTATGTTTCGCGTTTAAACCAGCTGTCTAAGGAAATTAAAATGTCTGAGAAAAAGTTTTTGATCATATGACTAAATGACGCTCGCTGATTAGTGGGTTTATCTGTCAATCAAATCTCGTAAAGATGTTAATTGACAAACTTTTATATTACTGTGCTTCCACACGGAAGGAACTGATAGGGAAAAAATAAATGTTGTTATTGTATGATTGTAGCCAACTGGATGGAATTATAATGATGATACTATTTATTTTACAAACAGGTTGATGAATCGGAAGATGCCGCGTCTGGCAGCAGATCAAATCAGAAAGCTTCCAAAAAGAAAGCAATTGATGAGTTGTTCTTCCCCAAGATGCTTGCGACCAAGGTGAGTGAGTACTTTATTGGATACAATTGTGTGTTCGTGATGAACTACATGGCTACTAAGTTATATTGATGCCAAGTTTCCTTTCACACAAAGGCTACACTACGAAAAGAAAATGAGGATAAGGTGGTAATTATCACAAAATTATAAATATACAATGTATACTGCATGTCCTTACAAAATAATTTCTAATTTTTATAATATTAATAATAACAATTTCTAGTACAGATATATTTTTTGGAAACATATGGCGCTGGTTCTTAATAGGTCGCCCGGGGGCCAAATTTGGTCTGCTAAGCAAATTAATGTGGCCCGCGAGAAGAAGTTAAAGTATAAAAAAATATATTTAAAGAAACTAAAATTAAGAACCATTCGATGAATATTTTTTTCAATAAAGTGAAGGCCAAAACACAATACTGGGCCAATGTGAAGTAGGGGTGACCCCCCCCCCCCCATGCAGATCTAGAATTAAATCCATTACCAACCAATTTATTGGTAGTCTTGTTCAGCCAATATTACATAGCAAATTAAAAATAACAACTTTATCAGATACTTTATTATAAGTGGACCCGAGAATTTACAGGCAAAATGTTGTTAGGCTTTAAGGCCCTGGTATTTTTGTGGATATAGGATAGGTGAAATCACACAGAAAATACCTATTGTCTGCCAAACTATTAAGTTGAACAAACTTTGTATGGCTGTTAAAAAAAACGAAATACTTTGTATCTGTCATGATTATGCCTGTAACTTCAAGTTTGGTTTGAAAATACTCCTACTGGATTACTATTACCAGGTAGTTGTTCTTGTATGGATGATCTCTGAGCAGGTAACAATATTTGGTTAGGCCTAAACAGCAAGGTCAATATAATAGAAAATATATATAGTTTTACTCTGATAGGGGAAAAAAGCCAAATTCAGGAAACGATACTTCGCCCACAGTTACACTTGCACAAAGAAAGAAAGAAGTTCTATTACCAGTCACCGACAACATTAAATGCCTACCGACCCTGAAAAATATTTTTGGCATGAAAGTATGATTATTATTTTTTTTAATTTCAATTTTGTATAAGCCTGCTTATTATTAGGCCCATGCAATTCGAGGACTTCTTTGAATGTGGCACTTTACCACTTATCATGCTAAGTACTTAAAACCGTCAGTTCCCAACCAAAATATTATATCGATCATATGGTGCAAAAATTAGAATAGAATTTAAACTTGCCAAAAAAACTTCTGCCAAAAAAAGATCTGTGCAGTCAACAGGGACCTTCGGCCACAGCATCTCAGAATTTTACCTTAGGTCCATAAATTATAGCAAGATACTTGAAACTCCTTATGATATCAAATCTAAAAATAATTTGGCCCTTCAAATAGATTAATTAAGAACCAGGGCGCTATGGTATAGAAAATATAGAAGTAAATATGGAAATTGTATAAAGGTTCTCTATGGAAAATGTATGAAAATTCTATGAAAACTTTTTATGTAGCCTAACGCTATATAAGTGCATGACTTAGTGGATTAGTCCCTCATAAAGAGACAGCTATTATGACTGTATGTGTATTTGGCTTTATTTCAGCAAACTATTCTAAAGTATGTACAAGACATGTTCCATTCCATTTTGAAACCAGCAACTCACGATCACAGTCCGCCATTGGCCATTCAGTACCTCTTTGATCTTTTTGATCGTGAGCAGCGGAAACACAAGGTTGGACACGATGTCCTGAAGGCCTGGAAAAACCAAAGGTCAGCTAGCTTGCTTATATAAAATCACTTTATTTCAACAACAAAGGAAAAATTGCCTCACATCCAGAAAACAATGGTCCAGGAAGTAGACCAATGCAGGAAAGGCTAAACAAAAAAATCATTGTGTTCTAAAAAAACTAAATTAAAATTAATTAATTTTAAATTAATTAAATTTTAGTTTCTTAGTGTATTAAAAGCACCTTGAGGTGAGTTTTATTGTGGAAGGTCCTGTACAAATACATGACCATTGACCATGCTGACCATTAAAAAACTGTTAATCAGTTCAACTTCAGAGAAAGGCAAGATTATTTCACATTAATACGCCTTTGGCTGTTTTTTGTATTAAATAAATAAAAAAGTTATGTCCTGGTGATAAATTATTGTACCTATGCATTAATCCAACTAGGCTATAAGAATTCAAGTATCCTGAAGTCTTGATCATTGATTGGTTGATATTAAAATATATATAC